GGGCGGGTGGGTGTGCGTGTGTTTATTTTAAATATTGCCTGTTGGTCAACAAAGATAAACATTGGAAAGTACGCATAGGTGCAAGGCAAAGTGGATACTAAACTCTATATTTACTTCCCACATCTCACCTATGTAAATTCCATACAACTAAGCGTACAGTTGGATAAAAAAGATTAGGATTTGATAAGCTGAAAGATTAAGAGCCTGTTTGGGATTACTTTCTGTTTTTTGTATTTATTTTTGTTTTTAGTCTGTTTTATTTTTTTTTATTATTTATTTTTTTTTTTAGAAAATGCGTATGATACTGTAATGATTTATATGTTTTTAGAAATAAAAAAAAATATAAAACATATTTGGTGGAGTATTTTTAATTTTTTTAACAGAAAAACTATACTTTTTAAAAAATCTTTGAGTTCACGTGCTCTTCAGTATTAAGCTCTGTTGCCCATGGCTTGCACGACGTCTTCCCCATTACTTGTGGGGGGGCAGGGCCGACGAACGACAAGGCTACTTTCAGCGACGGGCAATAGCAATGGCAGCTGGTGGCGGTGAGCTGCAAGTGACCGACAGTGAGCGGCAGGCAGAGGGAGGTGGCGGGCAGTGGCAGGCGGTGTCTGACTGCGGATGGTGGTGGATAGGCTACATTGGACTGCGAGTGGCACAGGGAGGCAGGCGGCAGCTAGCTACAGGTTGTGATGGGTGGCACTGACAACAGGCGACAGTCGATAGCGGGCGACAAGCGACCGCGGTTGGTAATGAACGAAAACGGCTGACGACGCGCGACGGGTAGCGGCTGACGGTGGCGGTTAATAGTCTCGCTCAGGTAATGCTTTGAAAACATGTTTTTAAAACAACAAAAACACAATTTCTGTGTTTTTGATGTTTTAAAAACAAGCTTCATGTGTTTTAAAAAAATGAATAAACAATCATTATTTTTGGGTTTGTTTTCTGTTTTTTGTTTTAAAAAATTAAAAATAGAAATCAGAAAGTGATCCCAAACAGGGCATAAGTTGGGCTCTAAAAAAAATCTAGGATTAAAATGGGCTCACCTAAATAGTTAATGGACTATTTTGATCATTTCTTATTTTATTGTTTTTAGCTCATGAGTACTGCATAGTTTACATACAGTCTTCAAAGTAATATGAAACATAAATTACTCAGCATTTGTCTTCATTGATAAGATATTGTTTCTTCATGTAGAGTATGACAAAACCTAAATGATATTAATGTAATATGTGGGCAATGAATGCCTTACAGTAGATGTTTGTTTTAGAATGACAGGAGTGCTATTGAGGTATGCCATAGTTTGCTCCTATGATGTAGTTTGATGGGTTATTTTAATTTATGGACATTTAAGCTTTTAGAGTGATATTGAAATCATGAAATAATTTAAATAGATTGCATACCCCACTGCATCAAGCATCTAGATATTGGTTGATTTATGCAATGTTGCCTCTGCTAGCATCGAGATTATTTTCATCAATCAAATCACCATGGAGGTAATTTGCCTCCTTTTTGGATTCGGCCCTAGGTCAATATTTCTTGCTTTTGGGTCCTAATGGTATGTGTTGGTCTAATGTTTCATTATATAAGCCCTCAATTCTCTTTTGGCATGCTACTTAAGAGAAGCTACTTGGTCAACCTCTCTTTTGATTTTGTGGCTTACTTTGAGTGGTTTTGCAGAAATCATACTTGGCAACATGGTTGGTTTTGCAAATTATCTAGCACGCCTTTGTCCTCTGGATGACATTCCTCATATCACTAGATTCCCACTTTCTTACTTGTAAAACCACTATCTACTCGCCTCACAATGACTTCCAACCATGAGTGCCTACTCCCATGCATCTATTTGTTTCAGTTTGTTCCTGCACACACTTATCAACTTCAGCTTGGTGTCACTCCACCTCCACATATGAACTATTATTACTAAAGCCATCAACTTCAAACTTGCTCGATTTGGACTTGCTAGCCATTCTATCGGCTTCTAATCTAACACCTCTTGGACCCATATAAGAGCCATACTTCGCTAGCTAATGGTGACTAGGCCAATTCACCCAATTTTATGTGATCTCGATGGCCACAAAACTTCGGTCTAAGCTACCCCCATATACGTGGTTTCGGGAAGGTTAGTCATTTCTCAATTGTTTACTTGTTACCTTTCTTATACATCCATCCCTAAAACCAACAATGTACCACATACTCATTGCAATGGAAACAAATTTTAGGAATTTAATTTTCTATAAATCTTTATTAACACCTCTTTTTGCTAATGCAATAGCGTATTGATGCAATTAAATAGGTATTTGTGTGTGTGTACGTGCTGGAGCAATGAACTTCCATTGAGTAGTATATAACACTCAGCGGGTGAAGTTTGTTCAATTATGAATGAGCTATTCTTTTTCTATTTTGCATCTACTTTTTTTTTTTTAAGAAATACTTAAAAGATTTATAGCACCACATTTGTTATAGGCATGTGTGCACATTGTTTTTACTTAGTTCTAGACATACACTTGAAGCACTTGTATAAGATTTTAAAAGTTAAAATAAAGCCCATTTTGTTAATAAATTTGTCCCTTCGCCATTTTTAAAAAAAATCCTAAAATGAACTTTACTAATCCATCTGAAACCTCAAAATAGAGATATTGACAACATTTGACCACATCTTTAAGTTATAAATAGTAAATTCATTTAAAAGGTACATTATTGCAAGTTGTGTCAACATGTAGATTTGGAATAAATATTTCATGGTAGATCCTCATATGCATGTGAGCCACTTGCCTAATGGTAAAAACATAAGATCCACTCTTACTCTCTGTTAATTAGCTTGCTTTGCATAAATACTAGGGATGTAAACGAGCTGAGCTCAAGCAAGCTCAGGCTCGGTTCGTGTTCGGCTTGTTAAAAATTACAAGTGTTCATGTTCGACTTGTTTATATATCAAACATAAATAATTTGTTCGTGTTCGACTTGTTTGCTTAAAAGGCCGGACATGAGCTGTATTTACAGTCCTAGTCACGCAGTTGTAGAATGTTAAAGGTAGGGGCGAGATTTAAATTATATTATTTATTTTAAAATATTCATTTAAATAGAATTTAATATATTATTACTGTTATTTTAATTAATAATTTTTATTTCTTATAAGTCTTTGTACCCTTGTAGTCACTTAAATTATTTAAAAAATGACATCCATCAATTATATATATAAAGACTGTAATCGAGAGCTCTGCTATGGTTTCCAATGGAGATTTTCGTCGCATTTGATTCTTTGAGAGGGGCTTGCAACTCGATTCGTCGACCCTCGCTCCAGTCTGCGTCTGCGTTAGCGTGCGGGTTTCGACACTCTGCTTTTGCGCCCGACAGTTTAGTTCCTTCTGTTTCAACGCTTCGTTTCTTCTATTTACGTCTGCTCCCACACTTCTCTCCGGCCCGACAATAGCAGTCGTTCCTTTCTTCTGTCTGCATTTCTGTTCGTGCTTCTCTCTGACCCGACAACTACAGTCGTCTGCTAGTCAGG